AATGAGAGCATTTGAAATAAACGTTCGTTATCGCGCGGTACGGATTTGGTGGAAATAAGGTGTAAGAATTTTACCGTCACGACCGAATCGTCACGAAAATACTATGGCGACAAATAAGAACTTTATGACATTTAGATCAATGATAATGATATATACAATAGATACGACTCTAACGCACCTTAACTGAGGCACTAAAATGACACCAATGTGTGTAATTATATAGACTGCAATCGACAGGCAATAAATACTGTGGTGAACCGCAGTATTGCCTGTCGATACAGTATCAAAATTGCGAGATGTGCATTGCGAGATTTAAATGTGCAATCATTCATTATTTCGATACAAACGTATCGATGTGCGAGGTACCTTATGATTAATAATGATGTTTTAATAAAGTATGTCGCACAGCATGGACATGTATCATATGTCCATACTGTGCGGCAAAATTGTTACGCTTTACATTATGTTACATAATAATAAGTGAATGTGACAGATAATATAGAACGTATACGGAAAGATATAGCAGTCTATATAATTTTTTTTTATTATTTAGGACACATTTTCACACAACGTTCTCTAGTCCCAAGCTAAGCTTGTACTATGGTTACTAGATAACTGATAAACATACTTAAACGTACTTTTCTTTTGTAAATAAATACATATTATAGATATATAAACACCCAGACACTAGAAAAACACTTATGTTCATCACACAATATTTTTCCAGTAGTGGGGATCGAACCCACACCCTCTGGCGCAGAAGGCAGGTACACTACCGACTACGCCATTCGGGTCGAATTTCTAATTGTAATCTAACTACCTTATCACCACATAGTATAAAACAAATTCGTCCTATGTATTCTTAATTTTTTTTAAATTACGCAACGGATCTTGATGCGGTTTTTTACTAGATAGAGTGATTCAAGAGGAAGATTTATATGTATAGTACATTGCATCCGTGCGAATCCGGGGCGGGTCGCTAGTATTTCTATATTATATCATTTGTGGTGGGCAGATCAACTGGTTCGTTTACTCGGAGCGTGGACAATATCAAAGGGCAACATACAAAGGCATCACTCACCGCTTTCGGTACACGGCTAACTTGTTTAAAACGTAGATAATCCCCGACATGTTTGTAATCAAATCAACTGCCGGCGAAAGGACGAGATGGTTTTAAAACTACGGCACTGAGGCCGCGAAAGTTAATTAGGAAAGCGACTTGGTCTCCGCCCACGGTTCGTTTGAATATTTAAATTATTTTATTTCATAAACAATGATACGATAACGACAAAATAAAACCTGCAACAAACACCATTAAAAATCTTAGGAGCAGACTACAGGTAGTTTTGTAAAGTTCATACGAAAACGAAATTAATACGCCAACGTTTTGATGTACTTTTTCTAGAATTTTTATGATATTTATAATTACTTTAGCAAAATAACTAATAATAGTACTATATTACGCTTAATATTTTAATTAAATATTTATAAGAAGGCTGATCGACAAGTGAATTTCATTTTCTATGGGACTATATTACCGTTGCCTGGGCTAGTCGGTGTAAAGCAGATTTCTACGAAAGTTGCTTTCGTAGAAATCTGTTCAGATTGTAGAGGAATCGTTTGCAAAAACTTTTTCGGAAGCTAATGACTTTATTCAAAGTTACTAACATCGACCAAACGAAAGAGCAAGCATTAAGTTTATGGTCGACGCAACGGCCACACTTTGTTTTAGTATTTGTAAGTGTTGTTAATCGTATAGGAACTTCGATAAAATATTAAAAAAATAACGAAAAAAAAAAGTGTGTTGAGAATTAAATACAAAGTTGTTAAATTATTTTATGTGTTTAAGAAAAGATAAAAATGCACATCCGTCTCTATATGAAAACGATATACTATGTGTTTTAATTCACTGGATTATGTTTCTCCTGTTATAGTAAACACAATAAGCTCGGCCAGTCTATTGGAAACTTTGAAACTGCTAAATTAGCACTCGTCTTTTGTTCAATAAATTGTACTACATTAGCGTTTTATTTAAGAGCAGTTTTTTTTAAACACGGTTATGTTTATACTTTCTAGCGACTATTTCGAACACGAATACTTCTTTTTTCAAAATTTCTCTTGTGCGTCTACGTCAGGAGTTGATCACGGATGAAAATGGGTACAATAATCTCTTATTTATTATGGTAATGGGTGGCGCTAACGGTCCAAATTAATTAACTTAATCGCTTCTGCTTTGCGTTGATCATAAATAGTACCCGGAGGACGGTTTTTTTTTTTTGTGTAAATGATCGTGACGCGAACCACGGCCGTCTGTTTTGGGGCCGCCCGATTACCAACCGAGCTATTTTGACATTTTCTCTTGCGGCGAAATTTACCGTTATATTCGAATTATATTTTTCATTCCCTGAAAACAGGGATAAAAGGACATTTTCTAAAAATGAAACCTAGCTAGATCGATTTTTCGCCCCCGAATCTACGCATATACTAAAATTCATGAAAATCGCTGGAGCTGTTTCCGAGATTCCGATTATTATATATATATATATATATATATATATAATATAATATAGATTCCGATTATATATATATATATATATATATATATATATATAAGAATTGCTCGTTTAAAGGATAAGACTGGCGGCATTGTTAGATTTACAAGAGCCTATTAGGATAAGATATTGGGTCCATGGGGAGAGCTCAGCAAAATGCCTGGAAAGTCTGAACAACGGTCCGAATTTAGGTTTCGTCTTCTTTTTAATAACATAACGGGGTAACTAAATGAAACTATTTTACCGATTTTATCGCGTTGTTAATTTTGATTCTAATTCCCAACGTTTCGATTCCTCCGGCCTTCGTGGTGATAGGCCGTAAAATAATTTCATTTAATCATGTATAATATTCGCGTAAAAACAGTAAATCAATGTGAGGGGGTAGGATCTATAATAATTTTTAGTAAATTTAGCATTTAGGCTAACAAATTTAGGCTAGTACCGTTGTAGGGCCACGTAACAGTTTTCACCGTTGCACGAATGGGCAGGTCCGTCTGGGGGTAATTACCACGACCGAACACCGGTGTGAATTGGAAAAGTTATAATTCTGCGTTTCGTCTGGTGAGTGAGGAAGCCGGGCCCACTTTATATAAAGGTGGCAACGCATTTGCAACCCTACGGATGTTGCCAATCCATGGGCGGCAGTTATTACTTAACATCAGGTGAACCACCTCGTCTTCCACGTTGTCACATTAAGAAACATCTTTAGGACAACATTGCCGTAGGAAGTGTGTCATAGAAATAAGGAGAAAATAATAACTTTTACGTGAGCACGTCGAGGGTAATTTCGAACGCTTTGTGATAATTTACATCGTAAGCAACGAGTATGCAATAAAGCAGGGAAGAGAGGTCTCGCTTCTTCTCTACTCACCTAGAAAGCTGAACATTAAAATGAGACACTTAAATATGCGACTGGGGCAAGGTTTAAAGGTTGGCTCATATTTCTGAATGAAGTTGTTTATGCAAAGAAGTGTATCTAGGTCATTTCGAGCATGTTGCTCGACACATGCGTTACCGCTCCCCTTGCCGTAGTTTACGGTCGCGATCTGTTACATTGTTGAATCTTTTCAGAAAATTTTCGGGATGGTTATGCCTGTCTTCGCCATCGATCCCTGACTTTAAGGGACATCTAAAAAAATTAGGTGCTTAGGCTTTAGTTAAAACTTTAGGTGACACTTAGGCGGTGGTTTAAACGAAACTAGCACTTTAACTGTTTTAGCTGTCCCTTATTTTTAGGGATCGATGGTGAAACCGGGCGTTAGTGATAAGACTTGTTGCGTCTTAGGCATATGATGAACTATAGTTTTTTTTTAATTACCAATTCACGTGTATGTTTTTGATCCATTTCACGGTGTAAGGTTCGGAAACTCGGAAAGTTTCCTACGGTGAGTTAGCAAATTTTTTTTGTTATAACAGAAGAATTACAATAGACGTGAGACAGAATTCCATGAGAAAACTATTCTCGCGTTGGTTAGAAACGTAGTGCACGCTATCCGTACGCGAGCGTATTGGCTAAAGAACGTTGCAAAATTTGTAGGGTCTCGGTGCTAATGAGAGTCGGTGAAGTGAAGAGAAGCGCCAAAAAGCGGAATGGCTTCTCGTCGTACGTCGCCCTAATTTTTTTTACCTCATTTCTGTCTCTCCAGCATATACAACGCTTGAGTAGCGCTTTCTTTATTCTATTTCGCACAACAATGTCGTTGCGTAGTTACTCGGATTTAATTAACACTGAATCGTGTCAAAAATCTCCCTCTGATGTTCGCCTGAATACCGTTTGTCAGACTAGCTGAGTAAAACAATGAACGAGATGTGCCAGATTCGTTTACAGTTCTGTGGTACACCATTAACGGCCCATCCAGCTAATTAACGAGCCTTCACTTTTGGACTGCTCATTCAATTGTTTCGAAATAGAAACGTTTTCCATTAAAATTATCCGTTTAAAAGCGTATTGTTTTTGCATCCGACTTTAAGACTCTTTGAAATCTTAAAAATAATTAATAATTTTACTTCAGTAAACATTGCACGGATATTAAACGAGTCATTAAAATTTGTCACAGAAAGATATTCTTTTATTCTTTTTAATATAAGAACGTATACACAAAAGCTTCTCCAGGTTTTAAATAAAAAAAAAATTAAAAGACAAAAGTATGATTAGAAGAGACATCATGGAATACTGCAGGCCAGAATCCATGATGTAATCTTATCGCCTGCTAAATTAATAATGACCTGGTTAAATAAACATACGCGTATGCATAAATACAGGAGATTGACCGCCCTGAATAAATCCGCGCCATAAAATATTTAAGTAGCTTGCGCAGGTAATACACGCGTGGGCGAAACGTGAGGCTCGAATTCGAAGAATCTCAATTAGGACGTACAACTGCCCCGACTTGTGCTCTCTTCCTTAACCTCTACCGAGCTGAAAGCAGTGATGTGAGTGTTAACTTAGAAAGGTGAGAAGGACACCTGGCGATCGTTGTCAGACAGTGCATCGCGTCGGACGATGTCGATGTTCTTTTTCCGACTACGCAATCTGCGTCGCACTGAGGAGAGAAGGGAGCGGAATAGGAGTAGTAGACAGAACATGGGCTCCGACACAATCACCGCCCCTTCGCGGCTTCTAGAGCGGCCGCTCAGCGAGCCCCTCGACAGCATGGATGAAATCGCCCTCCAAATACCCAGGTGCCACATTACTATTATACTTTACGTGTATACTTTTCCTATTCTATTTCCAACTACCGACTTCTCTATACTGCCTACTCTCTCCTCCTAATATCTTCTATTGTATATCCTTCTAGCCTTCAGCATGCTCCTTCTAGCTTTCAGCATCCTCCTGACTGCAGTGTCTTTGTTGGTCAAAATCTAAATGCATGCCTCCGCTTATTTGTGTCACTTTTTATATGGTGTAACATATATAGTTATGGATGTTTCAAAATTATGTGTTTGATTTAAATAACATTGTGTGTTTGTGAAATCGCAATATTCAGGTGCTTCTTTTGTTATAATCAAATGGTGCTGCGGCGAAAGGACTACTAATGTAATAATATTCTTATATATATCTTTAATTCGCCTGCACTAAAAAACTTAATATTAGAATATAGTTCATTGAAAATAAAACAATTTTACGGCTTCGAGACAATATCCATAATTTTATTTTAAGTTTTGATTACAATGTATATTATTGACGCAAGTTCAAGAAACATTTAACGTAAAAGTGTTTGATGTGTTTTACTTATCTGAACATAGATGATTTTTTTTATTTTTTGCTGTTCATGCATACTTTTTATTATATACTTTTTATCTCGGTTAGGATATAGACTTGTTAATTCGGATAAAGACAGTTAGGATATTGACAGTATGTAATTGTTTACTTTATTTAACATTATTGTGATGTGTATATTACTGTTTGCTGTTTTTTGTACCGAATAAAATAAAAATAAAAATAAATAAAATTAATTCAAAAGTTACAATTCTAGTAACATACCTGTAACTATTAGTATCGTAAATGCAACAGAAACTCGTGCACTAAAATAATTTCCACCGCACCACGTTTCTGTCTACCTCAAATGGTGTATCGTACGCTGTCTCCGTGGTTTGGGCGGTTTTTGCCGGAAAAAAATAAACATCACGGCGACTGATATTGGACGAGGCGGCCGTATATCTGCAAAGGGGCAACACCATAGACTGGGGGATAAATTAGACTTGTGACCTCGTTCGCACTGCCCTGGTTCGGACTCTTCATAGGATCTTTCCGCTCGGTAGTAAACGTGTTTGCCGATTCTCTTATAATAGTATAATAATAATGTTTTGCATGAACTTATAACTACGTAGTATAAAACAACGTCCCTGTGTATGCTTAGATCTTTAAAACTGTGCAACGGATCTTGATGCGGTTTTTTTTAATAGATAGAGTGATTCAAGAGGAAGGTTTATTATGTATAATGCGTTGCACCCGTGCGAAGCCGGGGCGGATCATGTTAATACATTGAAGGGTGAAGTATTTTAACATGAAAATAATTCTAAAAGAGGTCAGGGACTTGCACTTCAAGCATCGTTATTAAGTGTAAAATTAAAATTACACTACCAGTGTCCCAGTTTCCTTAATTCAATACTTAGATACTTGTTTCACTTACACTTTCATTCGTATATGTGATATGTAGATATTTGATGGTATATCTTATCTTTTTGAGGGGCTTAAAACCGGTTCAGAGTTTAGTGTTTATTATTTAATGTTTATTTATACATAAGAAATATATAGTTTCATCAACGATAACTCTTATCGTTCCCAACTTACGTTGTTCCGATTTTCAATAATATTTTTTTGTTAGTGAAGCAACAATTCAAGTTGTGATTATTTATTCCATAAGAATATTATTGAACTGTTCACAACATAGTATAAAACAAAGTCGTCCCGCTGTCTGTCTGTCCCTATATATGCTTAGATTTTTAAAACTACGCAACGGATTTTCATGCGGTTTTCTTTAATAGATAGTGGCTTTTATTCAAGAGGTAGCGTTGTATGCATATTATAGTAGAGAAACACTGATAATTATAGAGGCTTCTAATGCGATGTAAAAAAAAAAACATTCAACTTTGCACCCGTGGGAAGCCGGGGCGGGTCGCTAGTTTATTCTAAGATACGAGTAACAATTAAATTTTTAATACTTCTTTTTGGTCCGCGTCTATTACTTAAGCTCATAAAAAACGATTCAATATGTGAACAAGTTAAGTGTTAGGTAGGCTGTCTGAAAGCGTCTTTAAGCTTAGATTAAAGCTTTAATTTGTGCGTCTGCTTTCGATATCGCAGTTAATATTTCGTCGTGGTAAGCAGGTCATCAATTATGTCGTCGTCACGTCACTTCACGTCTTTTTATGTTCGATTTTGCATTAAAATGTTAATATAATAATAAAATATTTGAAACATTATAGAAATTTTAAAAAGCAATATTCAACTCAATGGAACTTGCAAATAAACTCTATCATTATGTCTTGGTGGCACAGTTGTTAGTAGGAGCTATTGGCTCCAATGGAATCCGTGGATTTACTTCCTACAAGAGAGCAATAGCGTGGCTCACATAATATAATTGCCAGGGTTGGGGTGTTTATTTCAAAGTAGGATTGACTTCAGATAGGTGGCTGGTGGCAAAAAAAAAGTATAGCAAGAGCCTATACAAGTCCCACTGCTGACAGACCTCCTCTGTACAGCGGGTATCAGGGCATAGTCCACCACGTGGCCCCATAGAGGCGATTTTGACATATCTTGCTTGGAATTATTTGTTTTTGATATTATTTCAGGAACATACAGGTTTCCTCACGATGTTTTTGATAAGTCAGCACTTAAAACTAACAATTTCATTGATGCCCGCGTCGGGGATCTTAGTCAGGTTGCTCAAGTAAATTGAATTAAAGGCGAGGGCGAGCGCCCGGACTATGAGCTATCATGACTATAGTGGTAAAAAACCAAGCCATTAATAATATGGACCATGTTATCGAAAGTAATATGTATTTACTTTGATTCCTTTCGATAAAGATGGTAAAAAGAAACCAGGAAAGAATGAAAGTGAAGTAAACTTGATACATACTAAGTTTAGGTTGGATGATGGGCGTTAAAATAAATAATATTATAAATATAACGGTAACAGGAAGCACGCTTTAAACCTTGTTAAAAGTTATGTTAATTTCCTTTGAAAGAGCTTACCGCTTTCATTCCCTGTGAAATGTAATGTAACATTCTCTAAGAAAACTTAATATTAAATTTAATCAAAGGTCCTGCATTTGAGCACAAAGAAAAAGTACGATAATGCAGCAAGATAATATCATAAATACTATTATGTATAGGGCAAGAGGAGATAGTTTGTTTTTAAAAATGTTTAAACATACCCATACATATTATACAATTATGTCTACGTCAATTATTGGTCTTTTACCATATATGAGGCAGAAACCAATATGTATGTAACAGTATTTTATGCCACGAATTAAAAAAAAAAGAAACAGTCGAGGTTGGTCAAAAAAAATTACCATAAGGTCTTAAATAACATTCATTATTTATAAATGCAGAGGGAATTATTTTTGTCAGAATTGGATAAGTTTCTTTGTTTCATTTTTGCGAACAGTTCATTTTTATACCTGTATATATTTATATATAACGAATTGATGTATGTAATGAATTGATAAATGTTTGTTCCGAAAAAAATTGATGATAAAAAAGCTCTCAATATATATAACTGCAAATATTCTTGGTTTGTCATTTTCTTAACAAAACTCGTAAACAGAGCTCTCCAAGAAACATAGTTTTCCGCCGACACTTTATAACAACATGAATCATGCTTTAAATTAGGTTTCAACCTTATCTTGTAACTACAAACGGTGTGATTCATCAATCCTTTCATATAAGATTTATGCCGTACACTAAATTGTATGTAATGACATCGCATGTGTTATAAGCGGTAATGCGACTTAGCCAACTCTACCTGGGCGGGGCTAGATTCGCTTTTAACTTAATTTTGTCGTGTCATTAGTATGTAGCATCATTCATACGCCATGTTGAAACACTAATTTAATTCCGCTATCTGAGCTAGTACTACGTAAAGATTTGCCTTTCGTATTTAAGCGAATAGGTACCTCACATTGAAAAGTAAACCTTTTTCGGGTTTAATGATAATCCGAAACCCGATTTCAAGATCATTTAATACCATCCATGATGACGGTATGGCCTGAGATCTTAGATCTTAAATTCATTTATATTCGGATCGGTAATATCTCCATGACCCCTTTTCTATTGAGTTTTTGTATTTTAATAGCTTAGCCTATCTACGAAAGGTTTTGTTTCTGGAGCGTTAGAAGTCAATTTTATCTGTATCAATGGTTGCATCTTCAGACACCTTTAAGATAAAAAAATATTTTATAATATTAAATTGCGTTTAACTTTCGATTGTTTATGTAAAAGTTAGGCAGCAGTATCGTGTCCTGTTTTACAGTGGAGTAATTAACCCTAGTGTACTGAAAATTAGCGCAAAACTGTGAAGCATTTGCTATTTCCACTTTGGCGTTACCAGTACGCTAAAGTTAACAAAAGACATTTAATACACGGCGTGGCATGGAACAAGAACGCTCCTCCCATCGATAACTAATCCCCGCACGCCCTGCTCCAATCAACTGACAATAGACAACTAACAATCGCTACAATGGACCTTTCGAATCGCCGATAGCATTAACGGGATTTCACCCCGAAGCGACTGTTCTCGCAGTATAGCAAGTAAATGATTACACCGTGGCGCAGTTGCGAAGGCTTCGGGAACGAAGGTCGTGGGTTCAACTCCCAAGCAGGACAACTTTGTGATACTTGAAAACTTTGTGAACTTCGAGATACAGATACCTGTCCCGGATCTGGGTATTTGACTACGTGAAGTTTATGTTTGCTTAATGTACTTACAACACGGGACAATGCTATCCTACAGGAAGGGTAATATATAGGAGTATATAGGCTGCGTCGAATACTGATCACTGATTTTATTATTATATTATTCATACTAATGGTCGAAATTCTACCGTAGTGGATTATACATGGTAATTTGTGTACTGTATTTTTTGTTGATTTAATGTATTTTTTATGCATAGTAAAAAAAATTAGTCTTCTGCACTCATTCTTTGAAAGGCAAATTCTGAAAATTCCCCACATTGATAGTTTA